ATATATGTATATCACGCGCAATTATCATATATATAAATTACATTTAAATGTTTTTTTATATTTTACCGCTCTGTCTTCTTAACTAAAAACCATAAAAATGGAAAGTCTGTATTACGATCATGTTAGTCTGTTAAAATGTGCGTACATTATCGCACAAATCATGAATGATGGTGTGTATTGTATTATGTCAATAAAGTACTTTAATTGTAAAACTTTAAATAATACTTTTGTAAAGGCTTGTACTATAGTTACTATAATATAATGTAATTTTTTTTTGGTCGCGATTGTGTAGTTTAATTTCAATAATATTTCTATGCAAAAGAAAAGAAAAATACATTTAAAAAATGTTCAACGATTATAAAATTTCGCTGTTTTGGTAGCCTTGTGTTAATAAAAATAACTTATAATTTATTCATTGACATATCTTTTCAAAATTTGATTTTCTTGTTTCTTTTTTTTTTTTTATTTTTAATGCTAATTTGTGCAATGATAAAATTATGATTTCATTTCAAGAGAAATGCTTAAATAATCTCATATAAGAACACAATAGAAATAATATTAGATTCTATATATATATATAGCTTTCCAAAATTATTCTGCATAGTATACAAAGTATTATCACGTTTTGGCACTTAATTTTACGTTATTAAATCATGATAATAAGTATACTATATAGATTAAAATATAAAGAAAAAATTGATAATTCTAAAAATAAGTCAGGGTACTATAACATATGTAAACTGTCTCGTCAGTGTTATACCATGTGAAAAAAAAAAAAATAAATAAATTCAAAAAGAAATGTTTTCAGTTGTTCTAATCTTATTTTTATAAAATTAACTATGTCTTGCGATTCAATAACAGTATAATGGCAATATTTCAGGTAGTGATTTAAGATTTACCATTTTGTCCAAATTGTGACTGTTAGTACTAAATTACTTCAAATTAGTATCAATTATTTATCAACAATAACAATTTTGTAAGGTTTTAATTTCTTAACTTGCATATATAATTACGAATATATAGCACCTATCTGAATATAATATTAAAATACCTTGTCATATAGAAGTATTCTATTTGAAAAACTGTAATATTACTTATATGTATAAAAGTATACTTTTATACAATTCTAAATTGCTCTGTAATCAGAATTATATATAAATAATTCATTATTGCTTTATATATCTGCTTATAAATTTATACTTTAAATTAAGTTTCTTATATAATATACTAGCCATCTAAATTGTTTTATATATAAAACTTGTACAACCTATCAACTATTATTAGCACTTTCATAGAAGGCTTTAGTATCGATAGAGATAGCTTATAAAAATTATATATGTTTTTAAGCTCGTCAGTCATTCAAAAATTCGTACTTATTGTCATTTTGATAATAAAAACTGTGCTGTCACTTTGATAATGATAAAAACTGTGCTCTGCCACTTTGATAGTAATAAATACTGTTCTATTGCAACTGCAATACAACAATATTATATCTCCCATATCAAAAATTGTAAATAAAATAAATTGCTATACGTTACTGAGGTCATATTTGCAAGAAAGTGATATAGCTTCTTACGAGATTTTGAGGACGTTTTGTTTAGCTTATGTTTTCAAATAAATGGCAATATATATATGAATCCAATTTCACTAACAATAGTTTGTTTCCATATCGCGATGGACAGTCACAGGTGCTAAAACATGATGTGGCGATGCCAAGTACGTTGTAGGAGAAGGCATTCCGATGCCGGACTGCCTCAAATCCGGCTCGATGTTATTGTCGACAATTAGCAGAGGTTCAGAGGCGAACGTCTGCTGTTCGGAATCATCGTGTGGCGTCATCGTGCTGTACCCATGATCGCTATCTCCACCAGGTGGTCTTCTATAATTAGTAGAAACTCTGTACGGTGATATAGGTGCGATACCATCTCTCACAAGGCAATCCAAATTGCTTTTGGTTTGATCCAATTCCGTGGGCTCCAGATCGCCCTCGAGATGCGTCATGCGCAATGTGTCGGGCGAGGTATGGAGATGCAAGCATTGATGCTCCACACCCGAGTTTACCGATCGGAGTCTATAGCAAAATAGAACGATACCTAGGATCAAGACTAATGCAAGAATTCCACCGGCCACTAAACCGACCGATGGCCACTCTCCTATCACGATCTCATCCGTTGATTGTGAATCTGGAAAAACAACTTTATTATATAATGACTAATAGAAATCAATAAATATGATAAAAAAGAAAAAAGAGCGAATTTACTGTAAGTGCCATCGCTGTAAGGTATCAAAGATCCGAAGATTCCCTTGAAACATACGGACATGTCGGAGCAAAACGGTTGTTGCAAAGGTGTTTCTCCATCGGTATCGACGTGACACCATTGACAATCCGCGACACCCAAGCAATCTCTCTCCGTCGCGTATGATTTGCAATCGATAGACGGACACGATTTCAAATTCGTCGGTTGTATCCACGGGGTCTGTAAACTCGAACCTTGCTCATATAGCGGCGGACAAGAATTTAAATTGTTGGTACTTTGTTGCGTACAACTAGAAGAATACAAGGAGCATTCGCAAGGACATTCACAACCAGTTTGTTCCATACTTTTGCAATTTAGACATGAATGATCCATCTATAATATTTAACAGAAAAGAAATTAAATATTTTTAAATCGAAAATAAAATACAATAAATAATGTGAACTTACTGTACTGCATGGACAAAAAGCTCTAAGCAGATTGCACTGAGTCGTCACGTTGACGATACCAAGGAATACATTAGTACCTGGTACGGCAGCTACTTGATATCTAACACAGTGCTCGCCATGTGCTATATTAGTGAGCACGTCATCGAGCGACATGTTAAACTGATAGTATCTTTGCATGATGCCTTCCAAGCGATTTGCACATGATTTTTTTTTTACAAACAGCCCGTGATTCAATATGTCATTAGCTACTAAAAGTTCCTTATGCGTCAAATGCTGTTGCTCAATCTTGCCTGTTGCTTCCAACAATGTCGGATGCGACACCAAGTAACCTTTGTCATCCATCAAGAAACATTTTACAGTTGCATCGTAACAGAATGGAAACATCTCTAATAGCAATCTCATGATGTAACTCATTGTAACATCCATAGATAAAACAGCAATGACATAATCTGTACTTCTATTGCTCATAGAATATTCAACGACTTGACTTAGAGTGACTACATAGCCTGATCCACCCGCATCTAAGTAAGGTGGAGTCAAAATTATCTTATCAGGATACTCTAGTGCTTTTCCATACCACATTCGTCTCTTGGGATCAAAACCAGAATCCAATACCATTCCTGGAAATATCTCCAATACACCACTAACTGTACTCACAACATATCTAAAATGACAAAATAAACCAATATATCGAGATATTATTATAAGTTATTAATAAGTTGCTAATAATAATTCAATAAAATTCTAGTTATTTGTACAATTACCTTCTTATTACAAATTTATTTAATGGACTCTCAATATGTTGCTTTTTGAAATGTTCCAAGACTTGTGCTAAGATTGCTACATCCGGTTTTACAGATGGATGTAAACCGGGGTTAGCTAAAAGACCTGTTAAATCTTTTATGTATGCCATATAACTTTGTACAGTCATAGCTGAACCAGTTTCTAATAATTCCAATTGCTCCATTGGAGACTGAAAGCACCATGGTGATAAATAAACTACACCTGTTGCTACAATAAAAAAGTAAAATATATAAATTTTTAAATATCTATTAAGATTTTGTAAATAATTGGCAACTGAAATGAAAATTATTTATCTTCTTACATAAAGTTACAATCCTGTTTCTATAAGTGCAAAGTGTATCTTTATTAATGACAGTTTGAAGCATAAGATCGAGGCGATGATGTAATATGTTTGTAGGCAGTAAAGGCACAGTTCTTGCAACAGGCAATATTCCCTCTTCAGTCATGGATACCAAGCATATTATCATGTCGTTATAAATTAAATGTTTCCATCGGTACCGTTTCTGTGTCATGAATCAAAGAATAATTTTCTGTATCTTACTCCTGTATTTAAATTTAAAATTTGTATATAAATGCTTTTCTTTACCTGCTCACCCAATTTTGTTTTTACGTCTATGACTCCTTGAAGCTCATTTATCATTTTCATTACTGCCCAATTATCTATATTTTCAATGTCTTGCAGATGCACTTTAAGTGGTTGCTCAATTATCGTCTCAATCCTGGGAAAATTTTTATGCATCCAAACCACACCTTTATTGTCAAAGAATATAACGTATATGTTTGGACCAGTATTAAAATACGTTATATCATCAAGGAAATCACATAATTTTACATCTAAGGATAGTAGTGCAATACTTGTAATCTGTCCAATAGATAATATCATTGTTTTGCTATATAGATCAAAATATGGGTCTAATATATAAAAATCTTTTTTATGATAATCAGGACATTGCAAACAAGAAAATAGTTTTCCTATTTCATATCCAAGAATATTTTGCGTTGGAAGAACAATAACATCATTGTTTACAAGTTGTTTAACATTGATGTGTGGTTGATCTGAAAATAAACTGTGATATAGAAAAACCTTTCACATATATAATTAAAATAAAGTGAGTATAAAGAGAGAACTTATACCTGAAAGAATAAGTATAGTTCTGAGATAAGTCATAAGTTTTTCTGAAATTATTTCAAACACTCTTTGCACATTTGATGTATCTTTTAATTTGTTAGTCAAATGTATAATAATCACTTCGTGCCTTAAATTCTGTGTTAATTTTCTAAAATCAACTTTTGTTGTCTGATTTGAATCTAAAAAAAAAAAAAAGAATTAAAGGGTATTAAATCAATATAATCGCATATATACAATCTATATATTTAAAAAGACTCACTTCTGATTACCTGTTCTAATTAAACTATCAATATACCGAGCTAGTTGAAACTTATTGATATCTGTTGCTTTCAACAAGCCATCTTTACAAAATGAAGGAGCAGTATTAGCAAGGCCAACAACAGTAATATTATCTGTTTCAGAGAGCATATCTATAATAGTTCTGGCTGCTATTTGGGCCAAAGCAAGATCAGATTCAGACATAAACATGCCATGCTCCAAAAGCAGAATGACATTTTTCTCAGGACAGTATTGAGATAATAAAAGTGATCCAATAATGTGACCCAACATTGGTGGTCCACATATCGTACTCGGTTGGCTTATTGGTAGTACACGCAAGTTTTTCCATTCTTGACTTCTTAACTTTGTTGCAAATTCTGTAATCAATTAAAATCGATAATATATTGTATAAATCTAGATAAAACATGAATGATTATGTCATTCAATATGAAATACCTGTTATAATCTGAGAACATATATCCGAAACTCTGTTCATCTGCATTATATCCAAATCAACCGTTTGACTAGAATAAACAGTATGAATCCCTTTCGACAGGATGGAGTATATGGCGTTGTAGCCCTGCTTGAGGACATCAATGTGTGTTCTTAGTTTATTGTTAAATTTATCAACTAATGCATTAAGTCTCGCGTCCAGATTGCTGGAGATGTTAGTGAATTCCATCTTATTAATCGTATCTTGGAACGAGGATACGCCGAGTTCCTCGTCGACGATGGATCGCAGTCTCTTTGATAGATACCTCACGACATCTCGTAGACACATGCCGTTCAAGGGTTCCGCTGACACCTGTTTGCGCAACGGCTTGCCAGATTGACATTTAACAGTGGCATTGGTGACAGTGTCGTCGTTAGCGGCTGCATAAAGATTTATTAGTATTATTAGCAAAGTCAAATACAAAATCTTGTTTACAACCATTCTAACGGATTTGCGGCTATTTTGGTAGCGAGTATATCTCGCGGTAATTTCATAACCTCACGGATTTATCGCGTGGCGATAATAGTTCATGTTGACATCATCGAGCATTTTAAGCGTCATGTGACTGTATCACTTCGAGTTGCGCGAGGTTTATTTAGGAGTGTTAATGAGAAAACGTGCTCGGAGACGCTAAGAATCGTTCAATTTTTGTACGATAGTGAGACTACAAGCAACAAAGCATCAAGTACCGTAAACCGTAAGGTTATATATAAGAAGGTTAAGTCATGAGCCCCGATTACCCATAATGCAATGCAAAGAATCAATGTGAGCAGTCGCTATTGAAAAGAGATGCTAAATAAGGTAGACTGTTATTGGCTCACACATTGATTCTTTGCATTGCATTATGGGTAATCGGGGCTCATGACTTAACCTTCTTATATATAACCTTACGGTTTACGGTACTTGATGCTTTGTTGCTTGTAGTCTCACTATCGTACAAAAATTGAACGATTCTTAGCGTCTCCGAGCACGTTTTCTCATTAACACTCCTAAATAAACCTCGCGCAACTCGAAGTGATACAGTCACATGACGCTTAAAAATCAGCTGCATAAAGTTAGCCGGACCACTTTAACTTTTTGATAATTAAAATTATCTAATCGTTTGGTGGTCGTTTGGTGATGATTGGTAGCCTAGTTAAAACGTCTGGTGATCAATCGTTTTTTTTTTTAAATTAAATAATTAAAATATTGGTGTAAAGTTAGCCGGACATTTTTAATTTTTAGTCTAATTGATTAAATCAAGGCTTATTCGATGCAGAATCGTTAGGTAGTTACAAATCCTTTATTTACAACGTTTGGTAGTCTATAATTTATCCAAAAAGTAAAAGCGAAAAGGGGACCCAGCCCCAATAATTTTGATATATGTTGTCAAGGGCATAATTCTGAGTAACATTTTCTTCTAATTTAATTGTCGCTCGTTGCTTATTAAAAAGTTATCAACAAAAAAAGTTTAAAATTTACCAAAGTGAATGCACAGACAGGAAGCACGCGCGCGCGCTGTAGGCTGGGTGGACCTCGCTTTACAATGTAGCATGTACTTTGTAAGTTGTAAAGTGAGGTCCACCCAGCCTACCGGCGGGGAGGGTGCGGGAGGAGGGGCCGAAGGCCCCCCTTGCACCCCCACCGTGTGTGTGTGTGTGTGTGTGTGCGCGCGCGCGCGCGCGTCTTCCTGTCCGGCTAACTTTACACCAATATTTTAATTATTTAATTTTAAAAAACGATTGACCACCAAACGATTAGATAATTTTAATTATCAAAAAGTTAAAGTGGTCCGGCTAACTTTACGGAGCCCGGTTAATCTAACCGGACTTGGTGAAATTGGCCCTTATATATATAACCTTACAATTTGTAATTCACAACTAGCGCCATCTGTAGATTGCGAATGGAGCGTGTCAACAACAGCGGACTATCGTCTACTGTTATCTGCAGAACCGACGTTTGTGTAGTATTTATTTTTGTTTACTGCACTCACATAGAGCCGCCATCTTGAATAAATGTTTCATCTCTGTTGTATGCCATCAAATCACATTTTATTTATTATTGAAATATTTTATATATCTAATTGTAAGTATTATATTCATATATTAAACCACAATGGTTATTGGAAAGAAAAACCATAGATAAAAATAACTGTCGGTTTCTAAGTCATCTGCTATCATATTTTTAGAGAACTGTCATCTTTTATCGGATGAAATCGCGTTATGTTAGGTATTCAGAGTCATGTGTGAGTAAATAATATATAAATCTGTAGATTAAATATATTTGTCACACAGGCACATAATATTTACAAATGTATACGGAAAAAACGTGAAAATAGACGTGCTATATATTTTCTGCTATGCAAAAAACGTTTAGCAGAAATCAATGGAAATATATGCGTGTGTATGGCAAAAACATATATCGATCAAACTTCAATTAGTATATAGTTATAAACACGAATCCTATCTCATATAGGCAATAAAATTGAGAGTATTACTTATTTATTACAAATACACAGTTTGATGCACGAAACATCATCAATAAATGGTTACTGTTAGTCGATTAAAGCGATTCATCGATGCGATGTATATCAATGTTACGTATCCGAGCGCTGTTAAAGCTCAATACTTTAATATTAAATAATTGAAAAATCTTCATCGATGCTTTACCGCTTCTTGTATTCGCTTTTTTCACAAGTCTAGTATTCTTTAAATGTCATTGTCGTTACAAAACGCAAAAGAACATTATAACAAAATGAAGTGAAAATTTCAAGCACAAAAGATGAATTGTATACCTAATAGTCTCAAAACTAAAGAAAGCCAAATTTTCAGAATAAATTCATGTAAAATTATTTCAATTTGCATTTTTTTTCTATATATGATACGTTTTTCGAAATTGTTACGGTACGATATAAATATTTCAAATCGCGAATTTCAAAAATTGTTGCGAAGCGTGCGCGTCCATCCCCGTGAAAATTCCAAGCAGCAAGATGGTAAGCGGCGTGGTTCCCGCGCCACTTTCCGCACATCCTCTTGTCATTTGGGATGCTCCCCTCTTCGGGTGCCTAATGTCATCAAGCAATCACGTCGCGCGACACACAAAACATATTGTTATTTGCGAAATATCACGATTCGAGGCATACGCTGGCGCATCCGTAACAGCATGAAAAATCGATCGGAAACAACATTTATTCAATTATTACATTGGGAAATTTTAGACGAGCGTTAGTAGATAATTTTGATAAAGTAGATAGTTTTACGGATAGAATCGATTGAGCGGATTAGATGAATTGGTCATGGGACGATTATGACTTCCTCGATATCGATTCAAAATCGATATCGCGAGCTGAAAAAGTTTGCTCGCAGCGCAAAGCGTTTTATGGATTTGCGTTATCAATCCGGGCTTCTCCTCATGACCTATACGACGGACTGTACCTAGAACGGATGCGGGGACGGATCGGTGTCACGTGAACCCTCCGGATATACCAGCTTCCTAGTCTTGCTCACCTACTTTATTGCCATTTCGTTTCATCGGAAACGTTCGGAAATCGCCTACGGCGGGAAAAACGTGCGGCAATTTGTTGCCGAAATGCACTTCCGTCGTTTTTTTTCGTTCGCCAAAATTTTTGCATTAATTTTCATCTTAATCAATTTTTATACTTGCTTATAAATCCTTTTAATCTTTATCAATAAATCCTATAAGACGGCACCGGCGCCGCAATAACGTTAATGACGGGAATCAGATAATGAGAGAATAATAATGAAATAATTCGAAGATTTTTAATCTTTAATTACTATATGCAATAATTTATATATGTGGCATATCAATTTGACGAGAGATTAGTAATGCGATGTTTAATGGAAAAAATTTGCGTCGTAATTACATAATAAATGCGCGGCATTTTGTTTTCACGTTGATAGCATTTATTCAAGTTAATAGTTCATAAGCATTCCGGTATTCCTTTCATTGATTACGATATGTCCTTAAATATTCCGGTCCATCATTATAATAAACGCAAAATGTATGAAAAATACTGAAACATATTTTTTGAAATTTTTTCCATTTTCGTGTCGAAAAAGTAGTCAATTCTAATCTGAATTATATATTATATTATGATTGTGTGTGTGTGTGTGTGTGTGTGTGTGTGTGTGAGAAAATTTTTTAGAAATATTATTATTAGTTAACATTTTATTTTTATTCAAAATAATAACAAATTATTTTTTAGAGAAAAATATAATCATTATTGTTTCAGATTTTTGCAATATTGAAAAATCTACATGTGATTAAATTTGGGAAGAGAATGTAGTCTTACAAAAAATCTTACTTCTGGGCTGTTATAACAACCATTTTGAATCCATATGGATCAATCCTGAATCTCGAAAGCGTTAAATCATGTATCGTTCCTATACGGTTAAAGCCCGTGAAGAAAAGGGCGCGGGCACGCACCCAGAAAAATTCATACAAGATGAGGTAAATTGGGGTTGCTATTTACAAAGAAATTAAGGTGTTAGGTTTTGCAGGAGCAGAGAAACGAAACTAGGAGAGGAAGAAAAAAAAATGCAATTGCGAACATATAGAAGGAAGAGAGAGAGAGAGAGAGAGAGAGAGAGAGAGAGAGTGAGAGAGGGGGTGGGGTGGTTGGAGAGATAGAGGGAGGGCATAGATGTCAACTTGATGATGATATACTGTTGCGATCTTGGTGTATGACCCCCTTTCTTCTCCACCGTCATCTTCTGTCTCTCTTTCGCTCTTTCTCACTACTGCTCTTTCTCTTCCTCGCTCATTAGATCTCACCTAACCACCAGATTACGTTCCGTCGCGACGGGGATGACGGAGGGCATAAGGGCGGTGCGGGTGGCGCAAATCGCGGGCGATGGAAAAGAAAAAGGGGGAATCCCCCTCCTGGATTTTCTTCCTGCATGATGATCTCAGTCACTGCCGGCTGGCGCGACGCGTACGGAAGACTGGACCGATCGCAGACCGATTACGCACAGTATCCCGCGGACAACACTCGCGCACGCAACACAGGGAGTTGCTCATCTCTTTCTCTTTTTCTCTCTTTCTCTCTCTCTCTCTCTCTGTCCCTTGGTACACGCGCGTTGTGCTTCTTCAGTCACAGTATATCCGCGGTAGACGATCACCAGTGATCGCAACCTCATCGCCGCGAATCATCTCTCGAGATCTGGTGATCCTACGGATAGTTGGGACTTTGCAGAGATCGACATCGGAGATCGGAGCGCTCGCCGCGGAGAACGTTGGTCAGCTGAGGATCCATCGATCGCTGAAGATCTTTGTTATTGGATCACGAGATCGGAGACGATACGATACAGCTACTCCAGCGGCGAGCGCGAAACTACGTCCCGCACGTCTATCAAGAGTGCTCAGGAGAAGTGCAGTGTATAAAAACGAATCAGACTTATTCCTCTCATCGACGACAAAGTGACGCCAAACTGTCTTGCATCAGTTTGCTCATGGTTATCTCGAAAAAGCCGATGACTTCCACATGAGGTTCTATCATCGAAGTTAATAAGGTTTGTAGATTTTTTGGAAATTAGTAGCTGAAGAAAGGCTTAAAGTTGAGTTTGATTTTGAGTAAAAATAGCGGTATATTTGTCGCATATAATAAATAAAACAATTCATAGCAATTAGTTTTCTTTGCAATATATTATTTGCAATTATTAATTTTTACGTAATTCTTGAAGAAGCCCTTATAAAAATCAAATTTA